GCCTTCACCTCACTTACTTAATTATTGTGTTAAGACATTTATACTCTACTCAGATTTGACATGTACCCTTGCAATATGCACCAGAGAGAACTCAAACTTATTAATAAGAAAAGAACAAGTCATTCTTTTCTAGGAAATCATGACGTATTGAACATTTGTGATAATCAATAGGTATATATCTAAAGTTCTGGAAACTTATAATTGGATTATAAAATCATGGCACTGATTGATATAGAACTTCCAGTCTTTCCGGGTTTAATGCTGCATCTTGAATTTAATAGTTTATTATCCCATTATTTCTAACAAAGTGCACTATTTCCGTGCTTGCAAATATCATATATCATATATCAAATATCATATGTCATATCATATAATCATATTTGACTCTAATGGCATAGTCATATATCAAATATCATATGTCATATCATATCATCATATTTGACTCTAATGGCATAGTTTTACATTTCCGTAAATATTTTGCTTAGTATGGTGTACTTAGAAGATTTTCTATTTGGAGTAAATGACCATCACTGGAATTTTAACATTCACTACTATTTACATTGTGTTATCACACAGTTAAACATGATGAAAAGTGACGGTTTAGAACTAAACTGGGATTGTTGTTTTAGAGTATGGAGGAACTGGATGAGTACCATCAAGATGTTCTCACTTTCGAACAACATCAACTTGAAAAGAGTGTGACTGCAATGCAAACCAAAATCATGATGGAAACAGTAAGTATAGTACATATTTATACTATCAGTAGTGAGAATTTATAGCCAGGACTGAAGCAGCAAAATATTTTATTTGTTGAATTATATATAATACTTACCTACGTATCCAACCATTTACATCTCTTTTCATCTCACAGCAGCTGCGACGGCTGGCCTATGTTACTCGGCTGACACTGTGAAGAAGGAAGCTGAACTTGACTGATGTGATGGCGTCCTCAACTTAGCCAAGGAAGCCAGTGTGGCTTACGATTCTAGTCTAAATTAGTGCCCCTCCTTTGTTATCTTGTTAATTGCCAGACCTCCTTCCCATTAAAACCAAAACAGATCCCAAACGGTTATGTGAGTAGCAGTAATTGCAAACTTGCATGTACCAAGCTTCCAGCCCTTTGGTAGGAACAACGACTTTATCTCCCTAACGCGCTGCCAGTTAACTTTTAGCAATATATATGATATAATCTTTCATTTGGCTTTTTAGTCCATCTATGTCAGTTCTGAAATGTAGAAAACACAGTTTTGGAAAATTATATTGTTTTTCTTAAGGAATATATTTCTAGCAGGGAGAGTCTATTTTACCCAAAAGCTTTTGTGTGTACTCACTGTTACATACAGAGCCTATTTTAATAAAAATGAGACTTCAAATGAATTATATTCTGTAGACATTCAAAATGTACCAAAGAAACTTCAGAATATGCCTTTTCATAAACCAGACTGCTAAAAATCATCAAGACAGCTGAACGAGGTGTGTCAGTATCAGCTGTGAAATGAGGATTTGCAGATGTACCATTTCCACATACACACATGCAAATACAAATATGTCACTCAATTGGGTTTGGCCCACTGTGAAATGACATTTGCTCTTAGCAGTGATTAAAAATACTTCATTAACATATTCATAGACCGAATTGCTTTTCCAGTATGTCACACTTGTTGTATACAAAAATTACCTACATTTTTTTTCAGAACTAATATCCAGTGACCATATGGAAAGTTGGTAGAGTATTCATTTAAACACATGAAAAACTACATGTGTAGTTGTACCTGGACATTTATATTGTGCCCTTTTACGTAAAGATTTCCCCCATCAGTCAAAGTAGGCATTGGCATATGTATCTTGAATACTAATTCAGACTTCTGTGGGTGAAAGCTAGGGTGGCTGATATTCCGCCTGATATCTCGAGTGGGTTATGGCCCTGGATATCAGCTCCCCTGTTGCAATGCATGCCTATGGTGGCGAAGGGGGGTTGGGCTGACAGGGTGTTGTCTCTCACGGGTCAGAACACCCTGTGTGTAACTTTCAGCCTTTCTCTCCCTTTGTCTGCTAGACCCCAGGTGGTCAAGTAAGGTCCCTGTGCAGGGGGTGCCCCAGTCTACTGCATTGTGACTTGGTTCCCGGGTTGCTCCATATATGAGAAATTTTGCTGGCAGATACCGAGGAGAAATAAATCACCTAGAATGTTCTTTCTAAATTTAATTTTCAAGAGTATGTTCTTTCCTTATTGAGCAATAAGAACTCTCACTTGTTCAATATTGCTTTTCTTTGCTTGGAATAGATATAATGTTCATTGCTGTGTGATTTTTCTCATCATTTCATTCTGTAGCATATGGTTGGTGCAATTGTTGGATAACAGTTACAATATGTTCCAATGGGAGTACTGATATCTCACTGAAGAGTTTCCTGAGCATCGTGCTGTGTGGCATCCGCTAAAACATATGGAGAAACTGAACAATTATCTTACTTATGATTTTTGTCCATGAAAAAATCTACAAAATTAGTGAATTTCTGGTCACAACTTAAAACACTACACATTGTCTTCTAGATGCAGTTCACTTTCAGTTCCATGAGATACCTATAAAGAAGTGAAATGGTGTATTTATGAAAGCATATTAACATAAATGTGTCTTTGAAAAGTCCGTATATATTTTTTCATCTTTCCATATATTATTATAAAAGTTTGCCTGTTTTATCTTTTATTTTGTGAAGTCAGAATTAGTCACAGCTTTCTTTGCAGACAGCTAAGAATAAAGAGAGAGATGACTAGCATACTGGATGTCAATACTACTGTCGAACTTCTCAAATTCATGACTGAGCCACCTATTGAAGCTTTAATACCTAAATTATTTAGTGTCAAAGTTACAAATGGACGATCCCAGTTGGACCAAGTTGGTAAGGGATTTACCCTATCGGTGAGAGTCAGTTTCCATGAATACAACCTCAGCTCACATCAGTCTCAGAGTGTCTGTGGAGCACAGACAGCTGAGCACGTATCCTGTGATGACACCACCCAGCCAACCTGCCCACTGATGGGGAGATGGCACCCCAGTTTGGGAACACTAACTACTTTGTGCCACTCATCAGCTGTGTGAATCATCAGCTGAAGGATTGTGTTCTGCAAATGCTGTGTGAAGGCAAGACGGCTTTGCAGACACATTAGTTGGTTGGGGACCTCTTGCAGCTCTCTGTTGTCAGGAAGGTCACTACTCCTGCATGGATTGAAGGTGGCAGGGCACTGGGGCCTCAGGGGATACAGAAGAAAGTGACATTGCATGTATCACACTGCAGAGTGGGCCCTGAGAAAGGGAAGGCTATAGCTCCTGGCCTCAAGGAGTATCCAGAGCAGAGCTGTACTCTTTGAATTCTCACAGGACACAGGGTTACAGGGAGGTGCCACCATGCCTCAGAGGTGTGACTCAGGTTTTCATACAGGCTGATGTTTCACAAGAGCGAGCAGCTACCACATGTCCACAAGATAAATTCTGTGCACAGTTCACCATGTGGAAGGCTTCCAGCCTTGAAAGGCCAGGTTCATGGGTCTGTGTGCATATGTGAATCAAGCTTATGTGCCTAAAGCTGCAATGTGCCTGCACCCGTGCTCAGGTGGAGCTTAAGGCTGCCTGGTGGGCAGCAGTCTCACTGTACCCAGGTGGATGAGGACTGTCAGCGCTGCTCATCCCAGACACTCGACGTCAAGGAGGCAGTCAGGCCTCTCAGCCTG